GAGAGAGAGAGAGAGAGAGAGAGAGAGAGAGAGAGCGCATTGGGAATCAAACCAAGACCTCACACATTCTAGTCAAATTCTCTACTATTGAGCTATATTCCTAGCCCCTAACCTACTCTTCTTGAGCCTCATTTGATAATAAATATTTTTATTTGTTCCTTTTATATCTCCTAATATGATATGAAATTCTTGAAACAACACTGTCAGTTCCTCCCATTGATATATCTTGAGATTCTATATATGCCAATGACCTAAGAATTATTCTCATTAGGGGCCTCTGGGTGGTGGCTGCTGCTAATGGCTCTCCAGATTCTGGAATCTGAGGCTGGTTCTCTCTCTGTTATTAACTGAACCAACTGAGTTCTTTCTTAGTAGTTAACAATGTCAACAGCCAAGTTGCTGACAATCAAATTTAGAGCTGCTTAATTCTGACTGGGCACCAATTTTCAAGTTCTGTCTGTGATTTTCTTTCTCTGGGTCCATCAGGAAAAAAATTCCTTTGAGTTTGAGAAACTCCTTCAGAGAAAGTTATACCAAGATAGGAGTACTCACCCACATTTTTGATTCAGCATGGTCCTAGGGAGGTGGGTTGGGAAATAGCCAAGCATATTCTCACATAGTTCCTGTTCCAGAGATTTTCCAAACCACAGACATGTGGCTCATCTGCCTCACAAAACTGAATTTCTTTGAGATACGAGGGCTTTCTCTAAGAGTTACTACCATTTCTCCATGAACCCCAAGTGTTCCCTGTGTGTCTATACTTCCATCATTTCCAGTTCATTGACTCTGGTTTCTTAGCACAAGAGATGTGAGTGGTCAAATAACTTAAACCTCCCTGTGTTTTTCATAGAGCTCTGGGCTGTTTCTTTCGGGGTTTTAGATTCTGATGCTAAGTTTCAGGATCTGTTTCCTGCTGTTTAGACAGTTACATAGAAATCACTTCTCTAAAGCAACATACAGCTCATATTTTTAGCATAATAATAAGTAACTTTTTTATTAAAACATGCTCATTTTAAATGTGTGCGTGATAATTGTAAAACAATTAAAATCCCCTACAATCATTACTGGAAATTTATTGTATATATTTTTTGCAGTTCTAAGTTTCATTTTAGGTCATAGTTGCTATCATGTTTTAATTAAGTTGTATATCCTACTTTTCTACATAGCATGAAACCAGTATTTTGTCTGATAAGTATAATTTTACTTGATGTGTATTATTGCTTTGAGCATTTCTACAACATCAAAACCAACTAGCCCCTCAACTAGGGGATTTGTCCTTCTAATGACATACCAGGATATACCTGAACATAATTTTCATGGATAACATAATGAATTCTATATCCATTATTCAGCCTTCCCTCTTCAGGATACCCACCTGTCTGGGAAGACTCATCAATCACTTACTTAAGCCTCCCAAGGTCAGCTACATATATGATATATATATATATGTGTGTGTGTGTGTGTGTGTGTGTGTATGTGTGTGTGTGTGTGTGTGTTTTATTTCTTTACATTTATTTATTTATTGGGGGGTACCAGGGATTGGAACGCAGGGGTACTTAAACACTGAACCATATCCCCAGCCTTTTAAAAAATTTATATATGAGAGCGGAATGCATTACAATATCCATCACATTTCACTATCCATCACATTTCACAATCATTTCCTCCCTTCTCCTCCCACCCCTTGCCCTATCTAGAGTTTGTTTATCTATTCCTCCCATGCTCCCTCTCCCTGCCCCACTATAAATCAGCCTCCTTATATCAGAGAAAATATTTGGTATTTGTTTGTTTGTTTGTTTGTTTGTTTGTTTGTTTTTGTGATTGGCTAACTTTACTTTGCATTATCTTCTCTAACTCCATCTATTTATGGCAAATGCCATGATTTTATTTTCTTTTATTACTGATTATATTACATTGTGTATATATGCCACTTTTTTATCCATTCATCTATTGAAGTGCATCTAGGTTGGTTCCACAGTTTAGCTATTGTGAATTGCGCTGCTATAAACATTGATGTGGCTGTGTCTCTGTAGTATGATGCTTCTAAGTCATCATTCTACAGAGTAGTATGATGGGTATAGACCAAGAAGAGGGACATCTGGGTCAAATGGTGGTTCCATTTCCAATTTTCCAAGAAATCTCCATACTGCTTTCCATATTGGCTGCACCAATTTGCAGTCCCACCAGTAGTGTATAAGTGTACCTTTTTCCCCACATCCTCACCGACACTTATTGTTGTTTGTTTTCATAATAGCTACCATTCTGACTGGAGTGAGATAAAATCTTAGAGTAGTATTGATTTGCATTTCTCTAATTGCTAGAGATGACAAACATTTTTTCATGTATTTGTTGATTGATAGTATATCATCTTCTGAGAAGTGTCTATTCAGGTCATTGGCCCATTTATTGACTGGGGTTATTTGTTTTTTGGTTTTTTTTTTTTTGTTGTTGTTGTTTTGTTTAGCTTTTTGAGTTCTTTATATGCCCTAAATATTAGTGCTCTATCTGATGTGTGAGGAGTAAAGATTTGCTCCCAGGATGTAGTCTTTCTATTCACCTCACAGATTATTTCTTTTTCTGAGAAAAAACTATTTAGGTTGAGTCCATCTCATTTATTGATTTTGATTTTAATTCTTGTGTCAAAGGAGTCTTATTAAGGAAGTTAGAGCCTAATCCCACATGGTGAAGATTAGGGCCTACTTTTCTTCTTTTAGATGCAGGGTCTCTGGTTTTATTCCTAGTTCCTTGATCCACTTTGAGTTGAGTTTTGTTCATGGTGAGAGATAGGGGTTTAATTTCATTTTGTTGCATATGGATTTCCAGTTTTCCTAGCACCATTTGTTGAAGAGGCTATCTCTTCTCCAATGCAGGTTTTGGGCAACTTTGTCTAATTTAACATAATTGTAATTTTGTGGGTTAGTCTCTGTGTCCTCTATTCTGTGTCATTGGTCAACCAGTCTGTTTTGGTGCCAATACTCCACACTTTTTCTTTCTTTTAGTATGATTTAAAGTGTGGTATAATGATGCCACCTTCTTCATGCTTCACTCTTTCTGCTAAGGATTGCTTTAGCTATTCTGGGTCTCTTATTTTTCCAGATGAATTTTATAACTGCTTTTTCTATTTCTATGAGGAATGTCATTTGAATTTTCTTTTAAATTGCATTAAGTCTGTATAGTGCTTTTAATAGTATGGTCATTTTGATAATATTAATTTGCTGATCCAAGCGCAAGGTGGATCTTTCTATCTTCTAAGGTCTTCTTTGACTTCTTTTTTAGGGTTCTGTAATTCTCAGTATCTTTTACCTCTTTTTTAAAGTTGATTCACAAGCATTTTATTTTCAGGGGGGTCTATTGTAAATAGGGTTTGTTTCCCTTTCTGAGGTTTGGTCACTGATATACAGAAGTGCCTTTGATTTATGGGTGTTGATTTTATATCCTGCTACTTTGCTGAATTCATTTACTTGTTCTAGAAGTCTTTTGAGGGAATTTTATGGCCTCTAGATAGAATAAAATCATCAGCAAATAGTGCCATTTTGGATTCTTCTTTTCCTATGTGTGTCCCTTTAATTTGTTCAACTGTCTAATTGCTCTGTCCAATGTCTCAAGAACATGTTAAATGGAAGTCATAAAAGAGGGCATCCCTGTCTTCTTCCAGTTTTTAGAGAAAATGCTTTCAATTTTTCTCCATTTAGAATGATGTTGGCCTGGGGCTTAGCATAGATAGTATTTATGATGTTGATATATGCTCCTGTTATCTGTAATTTTTCTACTGTTTTGAAAATAAAGGGGTGCTGTATTTTGTCAAATGCGTTTTCTGTGTCTATTGAGATGATCATATGATTCTTATCTTTAAGTCTATTGATTTGGTGATTTACATTTATTGATTTCTGTGTGTTGAACAAACCTTGCATTCCTGGAATGAATCCCACTTATCATGGTGCACAATCTTTTTGATATGTTTTTAATTTGATCTATCAGAATTATATTGAAAATTTTTGCCTCTATTTTCATTAGAGATATTGGTCTGAAGTTTTCTTTCTTTTTTTTTTTTTTTTT